CGGGGCCGGCACGGATCCCACGGACGGGGCGGACGCCAAGGCCCGGCGCCCGCGTCCGAGCCGCAGCCTCCTCGTGGGGGGACCCGCCGACCCCCGTCCCCGCCGGTGTGAAGGGCAGGGCCCCGGCTCAAGGGTCCCCCGGGGGAGCGACGAGCCTCCGGTGGCCTCGTGACACCTCAGCGCCACTTCCTGTGTGGGGGGGGGACAGGAAGAGCGTCTGTGACGGGTTAGGAGTCTGGGTTCAGTGGGCCTCGGCCCCTCGGTGCCCCACGGACCCGTCAGGATCCAGGGGTCCCTTCCGGGGCCTGGCGGCACCCAGCTCCCTGCCTGTCCAGCGGGGCCGTGTGGGAGGGGGTGATGCCCGGGTCCAGGCCGGGACTGCAGGCGGGGCTCGTGCAGGCCCGGTGGGAGGGAAGCCCCAGCAGGCCCCGTGCCGGGCCCGGGCCGGAGCTCGCGCTGTGCCCTGCAGGTCTGCTCAGTGCCGGTACTGTAGCCCGGACACCGCCACTGCCCGAGTGTGGTTTGCAGATGAGAAATCTGGCTCCCTGCGGCCTGATGAATTGGTGGCCTTGAGAATGTACTGAAGGAGGGCAGACGCCCGTCCCCCCGTGCTTCCGTGTCTGTGGAACACAGGTGGAAGTTGAGTGGCGCCTGGAGGGCGGCATGGGGTGACTGCTACTCTGGGGTGGGCAGCAGTGGTGGCCGTTCTCTGAGTATACTAAAGGCCACTGGCCACATGCTTGGCTGATAAATGCTGCACGTACAGCTCTGTAAAAATAAAGGTTAAGGGAGGAGTTGGTGCCTTTATGCCAAAGTACTGGATCTTGGCTGGACCCTAAGGGGGATTGGTCCCTGAGGTGCTGCTGTCTGCAGGGGTTAGTCTGTCCGTCGGTCCACCTGCCCTCCTGTGGAGGTGATGTGTTTAAGGTACTCTCTACAGTCTCCATCTCTGCGGAGAGGTGAGGGGCCGGCCGGCCGCTTTAGGGGTGGGTGAGTGGCTGTCACCGGGTGTCAGCTGAGGTCCAAGGGTGAACCCTCCAGTATGCTTCTGCCAGCTCCCAGTCTCCCCAGTGACAACCCTTTTGCAGAGGTCACAGTCCTCCTGGATACGTGGATCTAGTATTTGCGAGAGGGACCAGAAAGAGGAGGGACAAATAATGCCCTTTTCCTAGCGAGGACAATTACAAGTCAGCCATCTAACGGTTCAGCTGATGTTATTCCATCCAGACCTTCGGCTTTGCCGCCTGGCTTGACTCTGAGTGTCTTAGAGCCGGTCCTGTGAAAAGCCTGTTTATCCTGGCAGGGCTGCACGCAGCTGTGCCCTAGATGACGTACTGTGACCGGTGCCCAGTGGAGCAGTGGCTCTCAGCCAGGGGCTAGAAGCACCTGATGTGCCTGTCACAGAGGCGGCTCCCTTCTGTGTGGAAATGATGGCTGTGTGGGCTTGGGTTCTGGGAGGCCTTGGATATAAAGACATTTTGGTTACAAACCCTTAGAAGTTGAGACCTCCAAGTTTGTAGGAAATGAGGATGACAGATTTTAGGGTTAGGATTCTGTGATACCATTGAACATTATCTTTTCCTCTGGAGGGTGAGATTTGTCTAGGAATTGGTAAGGTACTTGTGATGCCATTGTGGATGGGGAGGGAGTGGGAAAGGACGAATTAAGAGACAAGATGTCCTCACAGGCTCGCGAGTGTTTTTCCTCTCTGTTAATTTTAGGTCAAAGATCGAGGTCCAGAAGCCACCAGGAGATTTTTTAATTGGTTTTATTGGAGCATTAACTTGGGAGCGATCCTTTCATTAGGAGGCATTGCCTATGTCCAGCAGAATGTGAGCTTTTTCTCTGGCTATCTGATCCCTACGGTCTGCGTGGCTGTGGCATTTGTGGTCTTCCTCTGTGGCCAGAGCGTCTTCATCACCAAGCCCCCAGACGGCAGCGCCTTCACAGATATGTTCAAAATCCTCACCTACTCCTGCTGCTCCCAGCGGCTGCGTGGGGGGCGCTCAGGCAGTGGGTAAGTGCTTCCTTGACCTCTGCTGCTGTGCGTGGGGTACAGCTTGCCTGTGGCATGTGCATGCTTGCTGTGCACAGGGCCCTGGGTTATGTGGTGTCTGAGTCCTCTGGAGATCAGGGTGCAGTGTGTCTCTTCCTGAGATGGAGGCGCTCACATGTCCTCGGTGCCCAGCTTCCTCCCTGCCAGTGTGGACAGGCAAGGCTGGCTTCTCCGAAGTTGCTTAGAGGACTGGACAGATAGAGCATGTACTCTGTGCATGGTGTTTTATTTTGAAGGCATTAGAGCCTTGGTGGAAATCTGAGCAGTTGTCGGCACAGCACTCCTGAGTCCAGGCACTAAGATAGGAGGACAGAAGCAGTTTTGAGACACTTCCATGGGAGCTAAACTGCCCTTTGGAGTGGTTCAGGAACAGTCTTAGTGCTGAAGGTGTGTGTCCAGGAGCCCGTCCCAGGCCAGCACAAGGTAGCAGGCAGTCAGGTGGGCCAGACAGTGGTCAGGTAGACGCTAGGCCAGATGCTGGCCTGGCCCTGCCACCTTCCTTCCCTGTGCAGTGGCGACGGGCTGGCTAGTAGGGCCTTTGGAGCTCTCCCAGCCACCTGTCTGAGGAGGTACCTAGTGGCTGAGAGGCCTAGGAATCACAGCACCCTGGTTATCTGCAGGTGTGGTTCCTGGCCTTATCTGGTCTCAGTCGCAGTCCCCACAGATGATGATGGGATTCTGGTTTTAACTGAGAAGGAGGATTGTTCACTTCTCATGCTGGACTGGAGGTGCCTGGAAGTTTCTCTCTCCACATCCTGAGAACTCCCGGGCTCCTGGAGACTGCAGCGCGGGCCGTGGGAAGGAGAGTCTGCTCTGCTCCTGTCCCTGTACCTGCAGCAGCACGGGTGCTGCAACATGGTGCCCCAACGCGGCCTCTGGAGCCGCTTCTAGTGACAAAGCTGGTCAGGAGCCTGTGAGCAGTCCTTTCGCAGAGGGCATTTTTTTTTAATCTTGACTCTTCCATGCTTTCATAGAAACTTCCTTGGCATGATACAAATAATTGATAAAACCTGTCTTAGATACATCAGGATGTTAGAACGTAGAAATACTTTCAGATGAAAGAAGGAGTAATGCCTTGGAAGTTAGAGCTCTTCTTTTTGTGCGATTATTTTCTCCTAGACCAAGCTTCTAAGGATATGTATACAGTATCCTCCCCAGCACCCAACAAGAACAGCACATCTCTTATAGTGGGACAGTGTGTGTGCTTTGTAAAAGAATAAGGCAGAATAGCGGTGGCTTGGTGAAGCAGGCCGCTGAGTTTATGCACAGGAAGCGGTGGTCATGGCTGAGTCCAGAATTGGGAGCAAGCTGGATAGTAATTGTCGCCTGGCATTTCTGGCTTTGGCGAGTAATATGCAGCCCTCCCTCCCCCAGCTTTGTGCCGCCCCCACTGCATGGTCTTCCTCACAGCCGGGAAGTGCCTGTCCGAGGGCCTCAGGCCTGTGAGCTCAGCTGGTACAGCACAGGGCTGTGAGCTCAGCTGGTACAGGACAGGGTGTCCACATGCTCTCTGGGCTGAAGCTGTCTGCTGCACTGTGCCTGGCCTCTGGATGATGGTGTTGATGCAGAGGCGTGGAGTGGGGCTGCCTAGTGGGATGGACACACATTTGTGTTTGGACTCGAAGGGGCGAGGGTGCAGTGGAGGAGCAGCTATGACCAGCAGTGTCTGGCTGACTCCCAAGCCAAGACTGCCCGAGCTAGAATCGCAGCCCCAGCTGTAGCGTTGTGACCACCCTGTGCCCTGACTTCCTCTGTGCACTGGGCCAGTAGAGCCCTTTAAAAGCACCTCAGCTTGCAGCCTGCGCTAACGCGGGAGCCCTTGTGCCCCTGCGCTGGCACATGCAGCTGCCTGCTCGGTGTTGATTCCCCATGCCTCAGCACTGCTACCCAACGTGCTGCCGGCCACACAGGCCCGTCCCTGGCTTTGTGAGCAGGCTGCTGTCCATCTCCCTCCTGGCCTCCACACATTGCTGTGGCCGGGCCCTTGGGTCACCGGGCATGGTGTCTTACTGTCCTTAGGGAGGACTGCTCAGCTTATTTGGAGTGTATAGTTGGTAACAGGATGAGTTAGAAGGGGCTCGGTATAGTCAGCTGGTTTCCTACCCCCAGACTTAATTTGTTGCCAAGTAATTGATTGTGTGGGGTAGAAGAAAACTAATTCCTCCGTTCTGTTTCCCAAAGTGAAGGCAGTGGAGTCTTTCAGCAATCTTCTAAACAAAGTCTGTTTGATTCATGTAAGATGTCGCGCGGAGGGCCGTTCACGGAGGACAAAGTGGAAGACGTGAAAGCCCTGGTCAAGATCGTGCCTGTGTTCTTGGCTTTGATTCCATACTGGACGGTGTACTTCCAAGTGAGTGCCGCAGGCAGGCCTCGCTGCCCAGGCCTCCGGGGTCCTAGCAGTTGGGGCTTTGTTAAGGGCTCCCTTGGCTGCTTTGCTGAGGAGAAGTGGGGAGTGGCTGTGCTTCCAGCTCTCCCGCCCTCGCCTCAGCGTCTCGTTTGGATAACTGCCATCTTTGCCAAACGTGATCCCCAGGGACGGTGGGGGGGAGGCAGCTGGTTGATGCGTCGTTTCGAAGCTTGAACCATTGTATGCTTCTGCTTCCTGGTATGGTGGCAGTGCACAGGGCTATACCGTGTCACGGGTGGCAATGGCGGGTGCTCAGGCGTGCAGAGTGTGGCTGCCTCTCACGTGTGTCCCGCTTTCTGTGCCCAGATGCAGACCACGTATGTCTTGCAGAGTCTTCATCTGAGGATTCCAGAAATCTCAAGTATCACCACCACCCCTCACACGGTAAGGGCCTTGGTGACTCAGAACAGACCCTCTGTCAGCCTGAGCGGTGGCACGGGATTTCACCCGTGGACAAGACCATTAATATAGCCCCTCTTCCCTTCCCTCCTCCCTCAGCCGAGAAACAAACAGTTACTCAGAAGTGTCTCCCCCCAGTTCTGGTGTCTCAGAGCTGCAGGCACTTCCCTGGGAGGTGACAGGTGGAGGGTGGCTGTCCTTCTGGGCGTTTCCCTGTGGTACGTTGCTGTCTGCCTTGCCTGCCAGGGACTAAACCGTCTCCTGTGGTGTGCTCTGCCCAGTTCCCGGCAGCCTGGCTCACCATGTTCGATGCTCTGCTCATCCTGCTGCTCATCCCGCTCAAAGACAAGCTGGTGGATCCTGTGCTGCGAAGACACGGCCTGCTGCCATCCTCCCTCAAGAGGATTGCGGTGGGCATGTTCTTCGTGATGTCCTCCGCCTTTGCTGCAGGTGAGTGGCCACGCTCTACCGCTCTGCCCAGCACGGCAGGCGTCGGTGTAGCCGGGCATCTGGAGTCTGGGTCTGCGGCTCAGAACGCTTAGTGGGCCTCCATTCCTACCTCTTCCTTGTACAGTTACTGTCCTTCTGGGGACAGATGGTTGTTTTTCTTTTAGAGCTGAAATGATAGAAGTGTTCTGAAGCGCACCTGTGCCTTTGCTGTGGAGTGTGGGCTGCTGGTGGGTGGGTGGTGAACTTGGTGCTCTGATCTCCAGCACGAGCGCTCTGCCTTAGGACTCCTAACCCCAGCTCTGCTTGAGGCTTCAGGAGGCCCCAGAATCTTTGCAAGTTTGACTTTGTATGGATTTTCCTTGGGAGTCAATTGTATCAGATTATTTTCAGCTTACCCCCTCAATTCTACCCCTCACCTCAAAACACAGTCAAAAACTGGTTCCTGAGCATTCCTCCACCAAGGGGAATTACCCTTTCAAAGTGCTGTCCAGCTTTCTTATTTCTTACATTTTGAAATAGTTTATCTTTGCCGATAAAGCTGAGGAGTTGATGGTATCTTTAGCTTGGACTTTTCCTTCATTAATATTTATAATGTTAACTTATAAATATTAATACTTGAGAATTACTGACCTGTAAACTAGCTGTGTGATAAGGAAGTTGATATTCCTGAATCGCCTACGGCAGGCTGAGGAGCTCCGCAGCAAGCTCTGGGAGAGCATCTAATATTCTCAGACAATGGGTCCTTCATCTGCTGCCAGAGAACATAGTGTAGTATTTAGCAGGCTGAAAAATGAGTCCCTAGGCATAAGAAATCTATATTCCAGCAGCTGTGATGTTTAGATGTTGAGCTCTTGCTGGTCAAATAGTTCAAATACTGGGGCTTTTCTTTATGTTCATTTCTGCTCGGAGCCGTGCATTCTGGGACCTGAGCAAGCGCGAACAGCCGGCAGTGGGCACTGGGGGGATCCCTCCTGTGGGTGTCCTTTAGGCCGGTGCTGCTGGGTTGCCTCCGCTTCTTCCCGGGTCGGCCTCTGTGCTGTTTCCTCTTCTGTGAGGCGCATCTTCTGGCTCCTTTGTTATTTCCCTCCGTTTCATGAAGGGCTGAACCACCCCTCGGGGCTCATGGGGTGTTCTTGTGGTTTCCGGGCTTGTCTGTGCAGGAACAAGTGCCCCCTGAGTGAGCTGAGAGTGCCCGGTCAGGCTGCAGTGGACCTGCCCTTTCATGTGGAGTGCGGTGGCTTTGGTGGTGACCCTTGGGTGCCTGGGGAGGCCGAGGTTGCGGTGAGGGACTGAGGAACTGGAAGCGGGGCAGTACTCAGGGCCAAAGGTGGTGTGTGCCTGCCCTCCTGAATGGGCTGGGCAGTGTGCTGACATCTGCATTGCCCTGAGCACGGCTCACCAGTGGAGCGCCAGCCACCCGCGCCCGCCGGCCTCTTCCACCTAGCAATGTCAGTGGGCTCGGGCCGAGACCTGAGACGGTGCCAGCTCCGGCCGCGTGCAGATGGGAAGGAAACGGGGCTGGGGCTGGCCAGGGCTGCGCCATGTGTCTGCGTTGAGCCCTTGCCGGCAAGGGCTGCGTCTCTGAAAGCTCTCAGATGCCACCCAGGCAACACCGCGGCCTTCTGAGGGCTGCGCAGGGCAGCAGGAGGGCGTGCTGACCGGTTAGGTGATGCTTGTCTCCTTACAGTTCGGTGTGCGGTCCAGGCTCCGGCGGCTCACGCCTGTCATCCTAGCTGCTCAGGAGGCTGAGGTCTGAGAATCACAGTTTGAAGCCAGCCCAGGCAGGAAAGTCTGTGAGACTCTCCAGTTAACCACCCCAGAAAAGCTGGGAGTGGAGCTGTGGCTCAGTGATAGTGCTAGCCTTGCAGAGAGAAGCTCAGGCCCTGAGTTTAAGCACCAGGACCACTACTCCCCCCTGCAAAAAAATTTGTATGTGTATTGGGAGTTTCGTGAAACATCATTCCAGTATGTCCCCAGGCATACTGGAACACACCACCCTCTGCTTCAGTCTCCTGTACTGGGATTGCGTTATATGGTTGTGTGTTTGGTTGGTGCGTGTGAGGCTCTGCCCTGCCACTGAGCCGTGCTCCACCTCTGCCTTGCTTTGGGTTACTGACATCGTAGATGCTTCCTAAGAAGAGGAAGCTTTGGGCCCTGGTCAGGAGCATGCTCAGTGCTGTCCCTTCTTCAGCAGGGCTGACCCGTAGGACTTAGGTGTCTGTGCTGAACCAGCCTTGCCCATTTCTGTGAAAGTGAAATCCTGTTGATAAGCTGATTTTAACCTGCTTAGGAAAGTAAGTAAAAGAGTGATGTGTGTTAATTCTATGGGGAGAGGGTGCAGGTGAGCTGTGATACACAGATTCAAGCACTCAGACTTCTTTGTGCTGGGACGTGCAGTGTTACGTAGACATGCATGGAGATCAGGCCGTGTGTGTGTGTACGTATGTGTGTGCGTTCTGTGTGGTTCTTTGTAGGGCACTTGGGTTTTGGCTCACTGTGGTAACTGCAGTCATCTGCCTTTGCTTCTGTGTGGTACTTGTGGTGGCTGTGGTCACTTCCTTCCCAGTTCCAGATCCCCTGTGTGGCCGCTTGTCACCTTCCTAGGAGCCATCCGCACCATACATGGATGTGTGAGGATGTTGTTGGTGTGGGTGTGTGAGGCTGTTGATGGTGTTGGTGTACATGTGTGAGGCTGTTGTTGGTGTGCATGTGTGGGGCTGTTGATGGTGTGTGTGTGGATGTGTGAGGCCATTGATGGTGTGGGTGTGGATGTGTGAGGCTGTTGACAGGGCTGGTGTGCATGAATGAGGCTGTTGATGGTGTTGGTGTACATGTGTGAGGCCATTGATGGTGTGGGTGTGGATGTATGAGGCTGTTGATGGTGTTGGTGTGGATGTGTGAGGCTGTTGATGGTGTTGGTGTTCATGTGTGAGGCTGTTGACGGTGTTGGTGTAGATGTGTGAGGCTGTTGACGGTGTTGGTGTGGATGTGTGAGGCTGTTGATGGTGTGTGTGTGGATGTGTGAGGCTGTTGACGGTGTTGGTGTACATGTGTGAGGCTGTTGATGGTGTGGGTGTGTGAGGCCGTTGATGGTGTGGGTGTGGATGTGTGAGGCTGTTGATGGTGTTGGTGTGCATGTATGAGGCTGTTGATGGTGTTGGTGTACATGTGTGAGGCCATTGATGGTGTGGGTGTGGATGTATGAGGCTGTTGATGGTGTTGGTGTGGATGTGTGAGGCTGTTGATGGTGTTGGTGTGCATGTGCGAGGCTGTTGATGGTGTGGATGTGTAAGGCTGTTGATGGTATGTGTGTGGATGTGTGAGGCCGTTGACGGTGTGGGTGTGGATGTGTGAGGCCGTTGACAGTGCTGGTGTACATGTGTGAGGCCGTTGATGGTGTGGGTGTGGATGTGTGAGGCTGTGGACGGGGCAGGTTAATCTTGGTCTTGAGGGGTTTGTGGGACTCGCCCCGCCGCTTCTCAGCATGTGGGGACAGCACCAGGAGCTCAGTCCCTGCCCATGTGTAGCCTGGGAATGGGTGAGCAAGCAGTGTAGGAGCTGACGAGGCAAACCCAATGGGCACCTGTGGTCCTGAAAAGGCACCTGGGACACAGAGACCAGGTGACAGGACCCGCCGCGCCTGCGGGCTGCAGCACAGGGATCTGGAAGCTTCCAACGCCTGGATCAGAATTGTCAGAGATCACTGTGGCAAACACCTGGTTGTTTAGTTTGGTGGTAAATGTTCATCATCACACGCGTGACTGACTGATTCACAAATTACAGGAATCTTGGAGAGCAAAAGGCTGGACCTTGTTAAAGAGAAAACCATCAATCAAACGATCGGCAACGTGGTCTACCACGCGGCAGACCTGCCCATCTGGTGGCAGCTTCCGCAGTACGTGCTGATCGGCATCAGCGAGATCTTTGCAAGTATCGCAGGTGAGCATTAGTGCCAGGTGTCTGGCTGAGGGGATGGAGTGGTGTCCTGGGTGTTGGACTGCGTTGGTACACAGTACCCACGTGCTTTTGTATTTTGTGGCAGGGAGATTGTGATTGGGAGGTGAATAGTAAGATGGTTGCTGGGCTGTTGTTATAGGGTCAAAAACTACTCAGAAGCATTTTCATGACAATTCATTGCCTACAATAAGTCACCAGAGAGAAAAAGAGCGCCTGGCTGTCTTCTGGCTCAGCCATGGCTCATGGATCTGATGTAAAAAGCCAATCTAATGTTACGACTGCGTCCTTGCAGACTTTGCAGTGTGGACGGGTGCGTGTAGGCACGTGGACTGGTGTCTGCTGGCAGGCCCACGTGCCTGCTGGGCGGAGCAGGGAGGTGGGGGACAGCCAGGGTGGTGGTTCATGCTTGCGGAGGAAGTGGGCTTTCGTTAGCACACGTGGCACGTCTCCCGCCTTGCTGCTGTAGGGTATGGATTTATAGACGGACCAGCTGAGATGGTTTTGAATCTATTGCTTTCAAAATAGAATCCCTAAGTCGATTTTCATGTCAGTACACATACTTTATTTTCGAGCAGGAGTTTAGTTTGTTGAACAGTCTTCAGGAGCACAAATGAGCGGGTGTTGAGCCCAGCTCAGCTGCTGCTTCCTTGAGGGTGGGTGGGCGCGCGCCGAGCTGGGTCCAGCGCTGTCTCTGTGCGGAGCCTGCGCTCGCTCTCAGGCAAGGCCTGCTCACGCAACACCTTCCTCCCTCCCTAGGGCTGGAGTTCGCCTACTCGGCTGCCCCCAAGTCCATGCAGAGCGCCATCATGGGCCTCTTCTTCTTCTTCTCTGGGGTTGGCTCCTTCGTGGGCTCGGGGCTGTTGGCTCTGGTGTCTGTCAAAGCCATCGGCTGGATGAGCAGCCACACAGACTTTGGTAAGAGCCAGCTCCTGTGCGGTGGCCAGGCTGGAGGGCTGGCCTGCGGGGCCCAGAGGGGACCAGCTCCTGTGCGGTGGCCAGGCTGGAGGGCTGGCCTGCGGGGCTGCGTGGGGCCCAGAGGGAACCCAGAGAGGACCCTGTCCCAAGGCCCCGCCACCCTTCGCCTTGGCAGTGTTGTATGAGCAGCACTTTGGGGCCTCCCCTCCCCATCTCCCCTCCATGCCCCTCCCCCTCTCCCCTCCCCTCCCCTCCCTTTCCCCTTCCCTCCCTTTCCCTCCCCTCCTAGTCACCTCTCTCCTCGCCCCTCTCTTCTGACTGGACGCCTGTGCTCCCTGTTGCTTGCCTGGAATCCCTCTGGTGTGGCCCCTCCCTCCTCGCTGTGTCCAGACCACCAGGACAGGAACTCCTAAGACCTTCAGAAGCCGGCGATGCTGGCTGCGTGCTGGACAAGTGACTGTTGGCCTTTTTCTGAGCAGTGGTGGCTGGAGAGCGCTCAGTAGGGTGCTGAGGCCAGCCCAGGGGTGGGCTCACACCTTCCCTCGCCCTCAGGTAACATCAACGGCTGCCACCTGAACTACTACTTCTTCCTTCTGGCCGCCATTCAAGGAGTCACGCTCCTGCTTTTCCTCATTGTTTCTGTGAAGTATGACCTCCAGCGATCAAGAGTGGATGGAGGGACAGCCAGCAGAAGAGTGGACGCCGGCCCTGCCAGTGGACGAGCCTGACCGCGGCCCTTGTGTGCGCCACACTGAGGAGCCCCAGGGCTCTCACGTGCTAGTGCACGAGACAGGCGTCTGGGCCGCTGCCAGGGCGCCGGGGAGGGCCTCCGGCCTCCCAGCCCTGCGTGGCACGTGAACAGTTCTCTCTCCTCGCCCAGACCTAGTGCCTTACTGTGGTCTCCTGGCAGCCCGGCCCTCCTGGAGGAGAAGTGCAGGTCTCCAAGGCTTGAAGTCTTGGGGGGGAGTATAGGTGTGTAGGTTGACACACATACTGTCACAAACCATGTGGTCTCCTTTTATAAATCAGCCAACTTGGAGTGTCCTGAGGCAGGTGGGGTCCTTGGAGAAGAAGGTGTGTCCGCTGCTGGTGGGTTGATCTCTGATAGCCATGTTCATGGCTGCCGGTCTTGCCCCTTGCCAGGTGTTTTGGGAGTGGGTTGGAGGTGTGAGTGTCTCCTGTCTCAGGAGGCTTCTTCCTTAAACTGCAGACGTGATTGGAAGAGGTAGAGGCATGCGGCAGTATTAAGTCTGTGTCCTTTTAGCTGCGGAGCCCTCCAGCGTGTCATAAGCCTTGCCCGTGTCCGTACTTTACCAGCATGCTGATGGAACCGTAGCCCGCTGGTGGTGAGGAAGCCCTGGCTAACGGAGCTCACTCTGGACAGGACGACTTCGCTGTGCGCGTGCTAGGCCTCTGAGCTCTTCTGTCTGTGGCTGTGCTTCGGTGTCATTTTGTTATTAAAGCTTCCCAGATGTGAGCTCGCACTGTCGTGTGTGTGGCTGCTCTTGCTCATCACCACACACGTCGGCTCCTGGCAGGGGTGGAGCTGGCCTCGGAGGGCAGCGGGCCGCGCACTGTGCACCGTCAGAGAACTGCCGACTGGGCGATGAACACGGACGCTCTTCAGAGGAACAATACGTGGCACAGGCCGAGGCCTCGCACTCTTCTAATGCCTGGGGCGTCACGTCACGCTCAGCTCAAATCCTCATTTGTAGGGGGTCACGATGCGCCTGGGAAAGGCCGTCAGGGTCAAGGGCAGGGGGAGTCTGATCCTGGCCGTTAACACGCGTCTCCCAGCCTTCCTTCCTTCATCCACCCACCCCACCAGGTATCCTGAGTGTCTGGTTGTTTTAGACTGGGTTGAAGCAAGGACAAAACCAGTGGACATGGTCTGAAGCTGGCGTCTCAGTGAGGAGATGGAATGGGAGGGGCCTTGGGGTCAGGACCCTGATGCGGCCACATCTCAGTCTCAGCACGCCGAAGAGGCTGCTGGTGCCCAGAGGGCACACCACCACTCCAGCAGAGAGCGGTGTAAGCAGATGCAGGTGCTGACTTTGGGAAGCCCGACAGCCTTCACTCACTCCAGAATGCTTGGGTAGAGGTCATAGGTCACAGCTAACTCCCGCACGGAGTCCAAGTCCCGTTAACTGGAGCCATGAGGTCCCACCTTTGACCAGGTGCTCTCCTGCTGTGCAGAGAGGAGGTCCTGGGGAGGTGGTGGGTGCGCCACGTGCCTCTCCTGTGGTGCTTGGACACACAGGCCAGACTTGGCAGGGCAGGGGCCTGTTTACTTCTGAGATCTGCTGTCAGGGGTATGTGAACCCAGTCCTGCAGCCAGGAGCCCCTGCTGACTGGCGGGTTCCCCGTGGAGTCCAGTGGGGTGAGGTGCATGTGGAGACAGCCTGCATCGGAGGAAACTAGTGGAGAGCAAAACACCATTGTCTAGCCCACCACGGGCTTGCGTTTCGAGGGCGTCTTACCCCTTGTTCTAAGTCCTGATGACTGACTACGAGGAGAGCGTGTGAGTTTGATTCTTCAGCAATACATAAGCAGAAAAGGCCGGAAGGAGCGCTGTGGCTCAAGTGGTAGAGCGCTACCTTTGAGCTGAATTGCTGAAGGACGGCACCTAGACCCAGAATTCAGGCCCCACGACCAACACCAAAAAAGCATTTGGTATTAGTCCAGGCCTCCACGTGCAGGACAGCCAGAGGGTCCCGGGAAGGCGGGAGCGGCCTTGGGCGCCTGGCGGGCTGGCTCGGCTTGCGTCTGTGTTTGCAAGCAGCAGAGGCTCCGCGAGCCCCCAGTCACTTCCGTCCTGAGGAAGCCCCTAGGAGGAGAGTGGGTATGCAGAAAACAAACAGCTCATGAAACACTCCCTTGACAAGGCTCTTCCCAGAGAGCTGGGGCAGGGAGAGGCCTGAGTGAAGTGGCCAGGGCACCGGCTGTTGGGACGGCTTTGAACTGGGAGAAGGTAGATGCAGTCATGACCAAGGCTGTGGAGGGCAAAGGCTTCTCACAGTGACAGTAACAGTAGCAAGGAAGGACTGAGGGAGGCTGGCGGGGCGAATGCACGAGCACTGTGCAGACTAGAAGAGGCGAGATTGCGCTCACAAGCCCCCCGCACTGGTGCAGAACCGGTGGGCGGGAGTCCTCTCCCCGAGCAGCAGAGCACCTTTGCATGCAGACACACTTGCATCGCTTCGTTCTTTCCATAATTAGTTGCTCAGTTCTTATCACAGGGCAGCTGAGTGGGCACAGCACAGCCCAAACTCAAACGGGGTGCCGGGCCTGGGATACACGGGCAGTGTGTCTCCCCACGTCATGGTCTTTGGCTAGGGCGCTGGGAAACGGGTTCAGCTGGAGGGAGAAGTGATTGAAACCGGCACTCAAGCTGGCCTGCATCTCAGCTTGGACCGGGTTGCGGCGCACACTGGGTGGACCCACCGGGCGCCAGGCACCCAGCTAAGCTCTTCACTGGGGGTGAGTGGTGGAATCTTCCATTGTGCCCTGTGGGAGGAGCCTTCTATTCCACGCGTTTTTCTGATGGGGTATTGGAGCACGGAGTTCCTGCAGTCTCCTCACTTCCTGAGTTGGAACCTCCCGCTCCCTTCTGGGGGAGTTCCCACTGCACCGAGCTCCCCCGACTTAGAACCTTCCAGAATTGGGAGGAGAGAGGGCAGAAAGCGGTGGACAACCCTACTCTCTACTCCATTGGTCTCCGTGTCTGTTCACATGGCCTTTCTCCTCCCACAGAGGAGTCTGGGGCCCCTGTGGTGCATGGGTCACCTGGCTTCCGTGGCTTGAGAGCTGTCTGGGATCCTCCATAATTATTTCCCCGATGCTCCGTGGGCCTTTATTACCCCTCAGTCGGTTTCCTTCCCTGGGAGCTGACCGCTGCTAAAGTGAACCTGCAGGCTGATGGCAAGTGCAGTCTGACCCCCAGCCCCGCCTCACTCGGGACTTCTGACAGATAAGATGCAGCGTGAGGCGTGCGGCCACCCCTTACACATGGCACACTGCTGACCACAGCCGGACATTTTGAGATGTTCCGGAGAGGTGGCGGGAACCCGCACGCTGGGAAAGAATGTTCAGGAAGCTTTGGCCCTAACGTGTCTCGGCAAGCTCATTCCCCCGCCATGGCGCTCGGGGTTAAGCCCATCTGGGATGGACACGCCTTCCCCAGTGCTCCACCCCCTCCCAAGTCCCGGGAACCTGCCAGGTGCTGTCCTGAGAGCTCTCAAGAGGGACCTTGTCACTACTGAGTGTTACTGTTTTGTTCCAGAATGGTCTCCAGTGTTGGCTCCGTCCCCAACCGGTCACATTCCTCAGAGGTGATTGGGTCATAAGGGAACATCACCAGTGGATCTGTGTGGTCTGTCCGTGTCGCTTACGCTCACGGTACCCCGCGCGGTCACTCTGATTGTCCCCCTGCGTGGTCACTCTGATTGTCCCCCTGCGTGGTCACTCTGATTGTCCCCCTGCGTGGTCACTCTGATTGTCCCCCTGCGTGGTCACTCCCGTGGTCTCCCCGCGTGGTCACTCATATCTCTGCGTCGTTTCTTGGAGTCTCCGTGTGAGCTTCCCATGTTGGGCTTTCTCACGCCTTGGAGCAGTTGCCTTTCCACAGAACAGGACTTGTATAGACACACTCAGGCTGGAGCAGCACTCTTAAGACCTAAGTGTTAAAGCCACGCAGCGCCACCTGTGCCCCTGTATTGTGTGGGGTATGACTAGGTCCCAGCAGGATTGCGAGGAGGGGCTCGGATGCAGAGATGGAAGGCGCATTTCCCTGCTGATGCACACGGGGAACTCCACTTCCCTCCCCGAGGCCGGGCAGAGCCTTCCTGGTTCTAGCTCCAGCTCTGAGCCTGTACCTGCAGGGAGGGGCCTGCCCCACCCCCTGTCCACAGACCACGAGGCTGAGGCTTGTAGAAGGACCGGAGCCCATGAAGTCTGCAGCAGGTCCTGGATACAACCCAGAGGTTCAGTGCAGGAAGTGTTTACATACATGATAGTGTGTCCACGCAGCCTTTCCTGGCCAGGGATTCCTCTGTTGTGTGAGGCCTTGGGAATTGGAGGGAGTAGGGAGAGCTGCGTGTGTGTGTGTGTGTGTGTGTGTGTGTGTATACATGCACACGTGTGCCTAAGACTGCATGCCTTCCATGTCTGTACACATGTCTCTGTGTGTTCATATGCTTGTTCTGTGTGCCTAACGGCTGTGCATGTGTCGTGTGTCTCTGAGTGTGTGTGTATGGTCACGGCGGGGCGATGTCTCCCTCATTCACTCCTCATTGGCTGTCTTACCGGACTCCTTGTCTGAAGAGCGGAGTGACCTCTGGGAATCCAGCAAGGCTTCCGCTGTCCTTGACGGAGGACATCACCTCCGCACCTCAAACCAGACTGCTTCACAGTCATAAAAACGTGACCTCACGTTACTCTCTTCCATCCTCACACGGTGTGTGCGCTACTAACCTTTGAAACAAACTCAGTGGCCCATACTCCTTTAAAGTGAGTGGTACTTTTCCTTTCTTAGGATGAAGGGCGTGGCTCTGGGGGAGGGGAGGGGATAGATCTGGCTGCTCTCCTCTTAGGGGTCACTCACCAGCTGGTGAAGAAGCACCGGGGTCCTTTGGTGGTGGGCACGGGCCCCGCGGAGAGTCTGCGCAAAGCCCGGGTGCAGTTCGAGGGTTTGGCCCCGAGCCTCACCAAAGCCCCGTTGGGGGCTTCCTCTCTCATTGGTCATTAAGCCAAAGGAGGTCGGAAGAAACTGCTTGTGTTTGGGAAATTAAGAATTGGGATTCAGGAGCGTTGGCATCAGCAAGGGAGGCAGCACAGAGAGTTTACTTTCCACGGGGGGGGGGGGGGGGGGGGGGGGGGGGG